ATATATATATATATATAGACAATATAAATACATAATGTTTCATATATTTCCCTGACGTCCGAGGATTATAAGCCGATCGTGCGTAATGAACGGATATTGTCCGATGTCCATAGGCGGACAGTGTAGCACTAGGCTGTCCCGCGCAAGTCGGGGCCTCAGATGACATGATCCTGATGAACCCAAGTGAGAATAGGTACAGACTCCTAAAGCAGCGAATACTTACAGATGTTGGCCCTTCGGAAAGAACTAGGTTGGAACAGCTTGATCACTAACAATCAGTAATAAGAAGCTTACGTTTTTTCGCTAGACGCGTCAAATTGCCGGCCAATACCTCATGTACGAACCACTCATACGAGAGTAGTGGTTACGGCGAATACCGAACTTTGTTCAGGATATCATAGCTGCTATACCTAACCTGGACCCGGATAAGTTAACGGCCGTAGTGGATGCCGTGTTCGAAAGGGAACTTCAACCGTCCCTTGCACCAGCGACAAAGACAAGGGAACCGAGACCTTACGCGCCATAATAGCTCAACTGTCTAAGTCTGAATGCCGGATTAGTCAACTGGTCACTCTGAATGACCTGCAACACCAGATGATCGAATTCCAGGACACGCCCAGGAGGGGCCGCAGCACAAGCCACTCAACTTCACGCGGCCAACGATCCACCTCCCGCAGAAGCACAAATAGTCCCGCATTAGTCGTGACCGGTGATACCACGATAAAATCGATGAAAAGACTAGACATCGCAAGCCGGGTTGTAAACATCGCCACCACCGGTCGTCGGAACATAAGTAGACCGACGTGTCACGAGAACACTACGTCCAATGCATCCCACGCAGGTGGTATTTTCCTCAATGGGCACAGGAATCCTCGTAGAGATTTCCTGGTTGACACCGGGGTTGGATTAGACAACATTCTAAACATCGACATAACCGCAAAACCAACCGGCAGTCACCTGAACGCAGGTAAGGAGAAGCATTTGATAATCATGGCCATCATTATACGTCATGGCGTCTGCGTTTTCTACGTTGCGGACGTTCCATTCGCTATAGTGATAGCCAATTCGCCGCAGCACTAAGACTTTTTAGTAGACACGGAAGCGTAGACTGGTATACCACCTAGTGAAACTCAACGAAAGGTCAACCAGCCAGTAAGTATGCTTTTCCTCCGTTATTAGCGTTTTCAAAGGAATTTCAACGAGTTGACGTACTAATGCAAGAATATTCATTACTTTTCCGTTCCTCTAAGGTTCTACCCACCGTCGCAACACAGGGTTCTTCTAACTAGTCTATCCAGTAGGTAGGCCCCCGATTAGATTAAGGTAGGGAAAATGGAAACTGAGTACATGCTCAGACGA